CACACACACACACACACACACACACACACACATACAATTTAAAATTTTATCAATATTATTCTAATTAAAAAAATGTTAGAAAAGAATATTAGAAAAAATATTACATAATTAAAATAAATTATATACAGGAATTAGACATAATGTAAACAATATTTTTTGCTAATATTTTTCTACGATAGCTGCGTTCAAGCTTTCTTCTGCAAAAAAATGAAAATCCAGCATAGTTTAAAGCCGTCACGAAATTATCTTATCTTCATTTATTCAGTTACATACTATTTGAACTGTAGTGCACGGATGGTTTCCGTCAAACAAAGGTTTTTTTTTCTTTCACAAAGGATTAAGATAACATAGTGGACATTGTCAATATACTTTAAGTTGCTTAAAGGCACGTTTAAAATTTGTATCTTTAAACCTAAGTTTCGGTTTCCTTGGAATTGTGAATATTTATATCTCCTAGTTTATAATACTTTGGACTTATCTATAAGTTTAACATAAAATTAAAAATGCCAAGCTATTTCTGTTTTTTTTACCTTCGTTTTTTTTACTTTTTATGATTTGTACAGAAGCTCTTGCGCTATCTAGATAAAAGTATTGGAAGATTATAAATGTACGTGAAGAAACTAACAGTTGGTAAATACCATCATTGCGTATTGTGCAATTTAATTTTTTATTTTTTCTTTTTAATATGTACTATAATAAAATCTATAAGTAAATTAAATGTGTCCAGAATTTATTTTACAATTTCATTAATATAAATTCCTTCTATCTGAGCGGATAAGTTAGCTACTGTCGGCTGTATACCTTTAGAAGTACTCTTCCAAAAAAAAAGGATTTAGTGTTTCAGTCGATATTTCAGTTCAGATTGAAATATTGGATTGCATATTTAATATAATAAATATTATTGTTAATTTAAATTAATTGTAAATTGATTTTGCAATTGTAGTTATCTCTACACATTCTATACAATTTACTAAATTATATCTTACAAAACTTTGCTATATAGTATAAATATTTACTCTACTATAGTTTGTAAAATATATTATAAAATTTCTAAAACTACAAAAGTTGCGATTTATAATTTTAATTAATATTTAATTTAAATCATTAAATTAATTTAATCATTCAAATCATTGTTTGTATAAATATAAAATATAAATTAAGTATAGTATTTTTAATGTAATTTTATTCTTGTAAGATGCTTTTTCAGTGAATATGTTACAGCTGTTACCGTTTTTTTATATTTTTTTATTTCATCTTTCTTAATATAATTTACAAAGTTGCTTATTAACTTTCATATAAATCTAAAAATATAGTTACTGATATAAAGAATAAACTAATAACGTAGAAAATAACAGGAAATTGATCGCTCGCACGTTGTAATTTTCGATGCAGGCTCTCGTTGTACGTAGTATATTGTACATTACATATATCACTATACATTAAATTGCATCGCAGAGCACATCAAATGTGTCTTCTTACATACTTTTCTCTTTTCCTTTCTTTTCATCTTCTTTGTTACTTTTTTCTTTTTGCGCTCTCTTTATTGCTATCACACTCGCTTTCCTACACACACCCACACCCACACACACACACATACACACACACGCGCGCGCGCGCGCGCGCGCGCACGCACGCACAGATTGTATTTTTCACATGTACATACATATAAAAAAATTACATTTGTGTTTAAAACATAGATTACTAACATTATCATATTGTAAGTCAGGATGGAATTTTAGAACTAATTTCTCACTTGACTACTTTCATACGCAACTTTCATACATTTTTATATTTTATAACTTGAACACGTGATATAATTTTGTTATTAATATTCATTTGATAATTGTGTTCTAATGTAACATTCGAATCCCACACTTTTGGAAAATTCGTAGTATACTTAAAGTATAATAATTACATTATTATTATTACACATATAAAACATTACGCAAATAGTCTCATGTACAATTACTCGACTATTTGAATGGCGAATGTAAAACATTCATATCAGTTATTTATAAAATTCATGATATTCCTCTCACAATGTTTCGCTGCCATTAAAACAACTTGGAAATAAATTAAATTAATTTATTAAGAAAAATCAGATTTGGAATACATTTAATGATAGTAATTTCAAATTTGTTTAATACTTGTAATTATAGATAATGTTATAAGCATATCCGTAAAAAATAAAATTTAATTTAATTTATTTCTAATAATCTCGCGCAAAACAAAGCGTTGTGGAAATGATTGTTCGCTTTTAGACAGTCCTTAACGGAATGAGAAATTTCAGTATTTATAAAAATCTATGTACTTTTATAATTAAGAAAGACGACAATACATTGTTATTATTAAATATCATTTCAAGCATATATTTTGTACCCGATTATGTTGTATTCTTCATCCATAACGCGCGTTAACGTATAGTTGGCCAGATCATTCGAACATTCGAACATTCGAAATTTTATTTAATCACAATGGACGCTTTAAAAACGGAAAGCTATTCTAGAATGTATATTCGAGGGATCGTTCTAATACTGGATTCTTTAAAATCCACTGAAAAGAAGGTATACCTTTGTAGACGTTAGAGGCATAGTCCGAAAGGATCGCCTCTGCGGTCGGATAGTATACAGTTTGGGTCTCACAAAAGGACCATTAATGCTTCTTCGAGTCGAGAGCACAGGGTGGGGAGGGGGAGGAGGAGAAGGGGAAGAAAAAAATATTGATATTCGTCTAAGGTCGGAATATTTTTAGAAGGGAAAAGCAACGGCAGCAGTAGCAAGGAGCAGGTATTTCGCGCGCGGATCGAGCAGGTACAAAGCCGTATTGCACCTGCCACGGTGGCACAGGCACAGGTTATTACCCCGACCGCAAAATTTGCATTATCCCTTCTCTCGAATAACTGCAGGACAAAAGAATACGACTTCGTCGTAGTCGCAGTTTTTTTAATATCTTCTGGACTTCCATTTTCTCTATCACCTCGTTATCGTGTGATTCACGCGTGTCGCAGAAAGTATTGTGGCTTCTACAACTATAGCATGAAGTGAGAGCACCTGTTTTTTAACAACAAACTATTAAGGCACATTTTTGGTATATATTTATTCTAACCGTCTCATTCCTAGGAAATTATTTCTCAATATTGCATTCAAAGTTATGTAATAATGAAAATATCTTCTTGTTACGTATTTTTGAAAAATTATCTTATTTAATATATAATACATAATTTTTATAATAAAATTATTATTTTGTATATTATATGAATCCGTATACAAAATTATAATTTTACAATTCATTTCTCTATATTATTATTTATATATTGGGCATAACAGAATAATATACAAATATATGCATATATTATCTAATTATGCCTAATAATTTTGGATTGAGAGGGTTAAGTTTTTCCGAGTCTAATAACTATTTTAGAATTGCGCGCACCCAGAATTTTAAAAAAATTATAAAGATATCTTTCTCACCTGCTTATGTTTAAACTCTTTCATTTAAATTTTCTCATATTTACATGAAAAATGTATTGCAATAACATATGCATAAATAACATACAAATAAGATTTTTTGACAAATTTAACAAGTTATTAGCCATATTCTTACGCATTCCAAAAATATTATAGAATTCATAGAATCTTTAGAAAGACTATTCTTTGTGAAGACCGGTACCTCTCCTTCGTGTAATCCATAGAGCCTATATATAAAAGAAAAATTCAAGCACAGGAAAACTACCTGCGACAAATTTTCTATCGACCCATTATATCTGCAATGGTAAAACCCTGACGTGCTGGTGCAGGTCTAGGTGGTGGTGGTGGTGGTTGTGGTGTTGGTGCTCTCGGTGGTCTAGCTATTTCCTTGTCACGCTCCCTGTTACGTTCTCTTTCTCTGTTCTGCTCCATCTCTCGTTCTCTCTCGCGCTCGCGCTCTTGAAGTTCTAGAAATACTCTTGAAGGACCTGGAGAGCCAATTCTTCGACGATAAGAAGCCAAAATGAGTGGGGGTGGCGGCGGAAGGGCAGCCGGTGGATTTTGGGTGACAGAATGAGCCGCAGAAGCTCCACTGGTCACCGTCGATGTCTTCACAGCGGGTAATAAATCCCTTCTAATCTGAAGTTGAGGTCTCTGAGGAAGAGATGGTGCTGAAGCCGATGCTGTAGGCGCAGGTGGTGGGACTGAAGATCCTTGGGAAGGATATCCAGACGAACTAGAAGATGCAGAAGATACGGACGGTGTTGTGGACGTCGATGAGGAAGATGGTCCAGGCTCAGGGCAATCCTCTTCGGGACTGTCATCGTCCCTCAACGCCTCTTCCAGTGCCTCTGGAGGAACATCGCCTACGGCATGTGTCAATGCGTGTCTCCTGAGATCGCAATTTCTGCGGAATACTTTGCCGCATGACGTACATTCGTAAGGCTTGTGATCCGTGTGCGTTAAAAGATGCGTCTTGAGGTTACTACGCTGATTAAAACTTCTCGCGCAAACAGGGCATTTGTGTGGAGATTCTTCCATATGCAAAATCTTGTGAACTGCTAAAGTACGACTTTGACAAAAGCCTTTACCACATTCACCACATTTGAAAGGCTTCTCCTTGCTGTGGATATACCTAAGAAAAAAAAATAAAAATCAAGAAATAACAATAGTTAATAAATAAAAAAATCTACATTCTATTTATTATAATTCAAAGATTTAAAAATTTCATCTTCATTTTATTTTTATCTATTATTTTTGTTATCTTTATTGCAGATACTTAATACAAAACAAATTAATACAATATAAACATACAATAAAAATTTAAATAAATTAATTTATCATATTCTTTTTACGTGAAACTAATTTATTTAATTCAATCAATTGATTCTAATTAATTTAAAAACAAAAAACTGTATATTGTACCTGTGATCCCTAAGATGATCCTGCCGCCTGAACGCCTTGCCACATATGTCACAAGAATACGGCCTTTCATCGGTATGAGTCCTCTCATGAATAAGAAGATTGTATGATTTCGTAAATTGTCGATTACAGAATTTACAAATAAACTGTTTCTTCGGTCTGGATGCCCTGCCAGGTGCTCTGAGTAACCTTCGATCCAGATGCTGATGGGCTAATGGACCACCTGGGGGATACAATGCGGAACTACCTGGAAAAGGACCGGCAAATACCGGATAACCAGGTGGTTCAAGGAGAGGATGTGGTGGTAGTAAAAGACCTCTCGCCAATTCTTTTCTCTTGTCGGCCATCATCGCCATAATATCGTAACTCGAAGAGCTTTTTCTAGCTACTGAAGATTCAGGGCCGACTTCATGTTCCGAATTCGTTGACGATGAGGAAGAGGGCGGTGGTCCGGGTAGATGGGGATGTATTTCACCTGGATATGGAGTGAGTTGTAATCTTGAAGGCACCACAGGCACAAAGGCTGATGATTCTCGATGATGAGCATGACCCAGACCAGTTACCAAGCTGTGACGATGATGATGATAGGCGAGAGTGCTAGATGGATCAAATCCTCTTGAGGTTGACGCCGCGTTAGAATTGGAGGATGACGAGGCTGCAGAAGAGGGGCCTGATCTTGGAGACTGTCCAAGGCCTAGGTCCCGACCTCTACTTGTCTCCTCTGAAACCGTGGCCGAGGCCGATGTAACTACGATGTCGGTTGGCATACTGATTGCACCTAAAAAATTTTAAAAATCGTTAATTAACTCCCTGATAAATTAATAAAAATAAAATTAATTTAAATAACATAATCAATTCTTCCATTAAGTATGTGATTTTTAAAATATTTGTTTATGATTATATAATTTCGAATTTTTATATTTAGATTTGCGCTCGTTTTTGTACAAACAATCGTAACAAAATCGTATAAAATCAAGCTAATCTCTCAAATTTTTTAATCAAGATGAGTTTCTTTTAAACATTGCATTTTATGTATATTAACAACAATTTAATCACGAGAAATAGACGCAGTGCTTAATATAGGTCGTATTTGGATATGTACTACCAGTATTGAAAATTTATAATATACGTGAATACTTTGTATAAGTATCGTAAATGTAAATTAATTATTATATTAATTATTTTTGTATATATCATTTTCTTATATTTAATAATTTATAAAAAGCACAGAAGTTATTTAAAAGATAATTTTAATAAATTTA